CCAAATGTCAAACAATTTGCGGTAGGGGGGCCAGGCGAGGCCAGGATCTTGGGTCTGGAATCTATTTAAAGCGGCCCCATTCGTATATATTAATAACTACAAAACTTTACGCTTTACTATGCACCAGATTCAGTGGCAGGCGATAAAAAACAAAAACACCATCCGCATAATGGCTGCCAAAGAGCCCATCTAAATGTAGTCCGAAACGAGGAGTATAACTCATTATGGCTAATGAGTGTTATTTGTGCCTGGCGCATAACAAACTCAATTTTGCATGAGAGTTGACTTCGCTCGAAATTAGTTTGACTTGACTTGGCGCAGACAACTTGCCACTCGCACACACCGCACACACATCCTGCTTGTGGCAAATGAATGTCAACTTTGGCTTTCACAGCGGATTACGATTACTGGCATCGCTGGCAACTCTCAGATGTGTGCCCTGTTTCGCAGAAACAAACATAATTACGGCCACATTTAAGGGCTTTTATCTGGAGTTGTTTTTATTCTGCCGAAAACTTTGCAAACAGATTTACACAATGTTGAGTTAAACGATTGCAATAAATTCTCGTCTGATTAAATGTGGTGATTACGAGTCGACTGCAATTGACTTTAATCACATGTAACAGGCAGCATCCAGCAGTACACCATATGCAAATGCCAATAAAAAATATGTAAAATAATACTAAAAAAAAATGTATGTATATAAATAAAAGACGTCTTTGCCATTGCCGTTGCCTTTGCTACCGTTTCAACACTGCCATATGGGGCAATTATTACACGTACCACAAGGGGCCATGAATGATCCAACAACAGGCTGCAACATGAGTGTTGAGGCGTGGCACCGTTCACATGCACGCCTCAATGAATGAAATTGGCGGATTTGCACAGCGGCAAACGTTACAATTGAAATTTAAAATGCGATGACGGCGATGACAGCCGTTTATGTTGATGATGAGGATGCTGCAGGGATAGGGACTCATAGCCTGTGCCTTTGGCTTACGCAGATTTAACGTTATGTTCGTCTTATACCAAAGGCACCGCATGTTGCCATACACCACCCACACATGATATTGATAATGTGTGATTTAATGTGTTTTTAACGCGTTTTCATGTGATTTTTAAGTTAAGTGATGCGTGGCTTTTCAAGAAAGCACCCCGCTGTCCTTTTGATTTGTCGCGCTATTAACATTGATTTACCTTAGCGTTTATTTTGTGTTGAAGTAGAAGTAAAATATGCGACAGCCTGAAAGTATGCAACACACCGAAGAATGAACCGTGAATGGTCCAGGCTAGAGTGTTTGCTTGCTGCAATATATTATTTCATTTTCTATATAAGAGATACCTATAATGTTATTATAATTATAATGAAAGCCTTTTTTTACTTAGATTGAATTATAAAAATTTCATGCTACGAAAAACTTGTAAATGCGTAAACCAAATTATGAATTCAATTGAAAGCAATCCAGTTGAACATAAGTTCGAAATAAATACATAAGTTGGTGGTTCGCAGCTTTAGTAGCAGTATTTTGGAAGCATTCCAATATTGAAAATAAATAAATAATTGCACGTCAAACTAACTTTAAAAATATTAATATGTTTTCATGAATTTAAAATATGATATATTATTCACTGAAAATAACATATGTATATCTATTTAATAGAAGCGGTAAATTTAAAATTTATTTTCGTCATTTTACGGTTGCTTGGAAACAATTTTGCTCAATAAAATTTCACAAATTTCAAATATTAACGAAATAAATTATTCGTATATATTTTTGCCTGTGCTGGTCATCATTAAACCACAATAAATGAATTCCTGCAAATCACACACAATAAATTCTGGTTACTATTTCATTTTGTATTATGGGCATTTTTATCAGCTGGCCCAATGCTGCGTAAAGATTTTTTTGTGCACACACACACAATCAGCTGAAAGCGTGACAATTGTTGTGCGAAATTTTAGGGACAATATGTATCTTTCATGTATTCTGTTTGCTCGCTTTTCATTCTTCAACGAGCCAACATACATATGTCTACTGGAATTGTGGAGTTAATCAATTATGGGGAAAAATGCTGTGCATTCTATATTGATTTTTTATATTATTTTTTTTATTTATTGCTTGTGTCCTTTCGAACTATTCACGTTTGACTGCATCGCATAAAGTAATTGCTCACATGAACCGTAAACTGTTTTTGGTTTTATTATGCATTTATTGTGCTATGAGGCATATTCTAGTGCTCGCAAAAAAAATAAGAAAAAGGTTATCAAGCGCTGTTATAATATAAGCAATTTAATTCCTGAAAAGACGGTATTGAATATTGGGTATGAGTTTTTAATTTCTTGCACATAATAATAGAAGTCACTTATGCGAATACAGTTCAAAGAAAATTCTATGAAATCGAATTAATGCACTCAAAGGCATTTTAATAAATCTCAACCCCCTAAACCTCAACTCAAAACCTCAAATCCCCGTAGCCTTGACACTGATAGCTTTTGTGATTTATGCCACATCTAAATTATAACTACGCGCACCCCCAAAATGATAAGCATCCGGCAAAATCATGCTAAATTGCTTGAATGTCAGCAGAGAAGTAATTTAAAAGCAATTTCGCGATCATTAAATGCCACAGTCAGTTTAGCTGTCGCTCAAACTAACTACCCAAGCCCATCTGATCAAAAATACATACATACATTATTCCCAGTATATAGATGAGACAGTTGTACATATGCACATATATATTTATAACAGAATTGGAATCTTAGATTTCATAAAAATGTAATTATTATTTATTTACTTATAAATCCTTAAGGTCGTTTTAATAGTTTATCTAATTTTCACAAGCAGTTAAACTTGCTACAAACAATCTGAGTGAGAGTATCTCTCGTTGTAAATGAAGCTGTTGAAAATAGTTAAATGTCTTTTCAGGCGTTTAGATTTCGCCTAGTGACTATTTTCACTAATTATAAAGTGTATGAGCAGTGACTATTAATTCGCAAGTTCACAGACACTACAAAGTAGACGCCCATTATCTGGCTAATTGCAAATTACATACTTATTACACACGATGTACCTTGAGGCTGCTGCCAATGCATGGCCAGTGGCATTGAAACCAGTGCAGTTAATTTCAGCGTTTTCGACAAACCCACAAACCACAACTACACGTAGCTGATGATGCTGTTATACAAAGGTCATTGGCAAACATGACAAAAAATTGCGTGTCGCAAAGGCAAGCGAAAATCAGCATTGTGTTAAATAAACTATAAGCAAGCTTTCATTCAAGATTCACAGACAGACGACTCGAAGACAAAACACTTGGCATCATTTCCGCTGGTGATAAATTAAACTGTTTTGTGTCTCATCATCATTATCATTGATATTGAGATTGAGCGCTTATCGCAGCTGGCCAAGTTGGAGTCGAGTGCAGCCAAATCTTATAGACACATTCGGCCATTCAGTTGTAATGCCTCGTTGATTGTGGTTAACACACAAGTGACCATAATTTGGTTCAGGGAAATGGCATCACGTGTGCACATTATACGGCCAGAAGCCACTGGAATCTCTCCGCCATGTGCCACATTCGTAGTGAACTGCGTTTGCAATTTAGTGACTAGAAATCATTCGTTTATTCATACAATGCCACAGCCGGTCAAGTGGGGAAATAGAAGTAGAATTTGGAGGCAGTTCTCGTCCTTTTCTCGGAATAGAATCACGTACGTTTTCAAACAATTATTGTCCTTGCCCAGTGACACGCATACACGCGCCCATAAATCTATTATGCAGGATGCCTACAGTTGAATTAAAATTTGATTTAAGTTGACGTCGCAATAAATTGGAGCTGACTTTAATCAGTTGTGACCCAAACGCGCTAGTTTCATTATTTATCAATCTATGGTTACGCTCTAAAAGGCATTTTGGTTAGTTTGTTTTCTAAATGATCAGACACAATTAAAAAAAATGACCTCGACAAATTTCTAAAATTTGGAGCCACTCACTGCAATAAATACCAACAAGTTTCAGGATGCATGTGCCAGTTGAGCAATGGTTTTAGACCAGCGCACAGTGCATTAAAATACGCGAATTTAAATATTAATTCTAGGCTGTAAGTAAGGCCCATAAAAGCAATCAACGACTACAACTACTGTGACAGTCAAATCAAGCGTAGTCCAATTGTAAACAGGTAAACTATATAAACTATAATTGCTCGACAAATATTTGCAGCGTGCAGCGCCATATGACGCATATGCAGCTCTCTGATGACTCAATCGAGCAGTCCAAACAGTTTAAAAATGGGTTCGCTACGATTCTATAGTCGCGACTGTAACAATAAGTCAGTTAATAAGCTTACTACTTATCGTAGCGGTGTTAGAAATTGCCGCAGTGAAAGTTGCTAATTGTTTGCCCATGCAGCTTGCCATAGTGTTGCAATCCCATGCGGAAAAGAAAGCCAATTCGCTGCCAGTCAATGGCCGAAGCAGCAGCGGCAGCAGCAACAATATATTAATCGAATAGGCAGCAAAATCTGGCTTAAAGCAACTGAGCAACGCCAGCTAATCAGCATTTCAAGCAGGCAGTCGTGCGTGGTTATTTTCTGTAGCCATTTGCTATTGCTTTATCGTGATGTGAAACACTTAATGCCGAACTCGCGTACACAGCGCGAAATGGTTGCGAAAAAAAAAGGTAGCGCGCAAGCGCAAGTATCTCATGGATACTTGGATACATGACAAACAGCTGAGGAGGTATCTTCAGCCCCTCCCCTCCCCCCCCCTAGCCAATCGCAAACACGTTAGCCGGCGCCCGAGACGCAAAACCGAAACCGAATCCGAAACTGAAATCGAAAACCTACCAGGCAACACCTCGTTTCTGTTGCCGGCTTTGACTTTGGCTTGACTTCGGCCGGACAAGCTTTATTTGAGTATCTGTAAGAGACTCTTGAGTATTCAGTTGCGAATTTCATACAAAACGAAACGGTCGCTTATGAAGTAAAGTGTTGTGTTGTGTTGTGTTTTGTTGTGTTTTGGATCGTATTATCTATTTGATAAACTTCATCACTGAAAAATTGGCAGTGCGAGCCGCTTGAGTGCCAAATCACAGATTCACATTCAAGCGGAAATTAGTCAAGTCAATAAAGTGAAGTTCTGTGCGCTGTACGACGAAAAAAAAAAAAAAATCCCAAACTCCCGTAGAATCTTTAGGAAATTCTTTGTTCAAATCGACGCAAATATGATCGAGAGACGCAGTCAACTGGATAAGGTAGTCAAATAAAGCAACTACAGTCAATTGTTGTTTATTTTTATGTTTGCTTTTTAATTCCACAATGCTTAAATTAGTATAGACCATAGTTTAACATATAACAATTATCTCAGGACAGGTTCTCATTTAATTGAGTAGCAATTTATTAACAATGATCATTAAGACAACAAGCTTGCTATTAAAATACGATCTCAGTGACAAGCGTAGGATTTACAGTGATTATTAAATCTCAGATTAGCATCATAATATAATAAATAAAAAATGATTGTAATAATTCACAAAACTATTTTAAATTGTTCTTTAAGTTCTTACTTGTTTTCACACACAAATATCTTCAGGTTGTTCTTCACATTCGTTTTACTGATAAGCCGGTTTCCTGTCTGTGGTTGTCGAGTGATCTTTGTATACACAGTGAGATCATATTGCAAAAATTATGTCTCGTTTTAAGTGTGTATATTAAAACACATTTATTTTTTGTATCTTTTGTTGTTGCCCCATCTGCATCTGAATCAGCCTGAATCAGTTTCAGTCTCTGACGAAGTTTGAGTCATTTACATTTTGTTCAGAGCCAGTGATTATATGTATTTGTATCCGTATGCCGTAACTTTTGTTTTTGTTGCGGTGTTAAGTGGCTTACTCCAAAAATGTTTGCTGGATGGCTGGATATTCTAATTAATGACGTGCGGCTCAGTTGCGTAATGCTTGCAACAAAAGCCAACGGAAGGTAGAACTGTGTGATATGAATAATTAATGAATTTTAGAATGAGGCGAGTATAAGATTTATTTCCAACTACTTAAATATCTCTACAAAGTATTTGTTTGTAATTAAAAAACACGCGCTGTCCCAATCCCAGCTGAAATATATACATATATAAATATATATTATTCAGTATTTAAATTCAGTGCTGCAGCTTAGCTTCCCTTTTTTTATTTTGTATTCTGACTTGATCGATTTACGTATGTGTTTCGCTTTTAACTGCTTTGTACTCACGTCGATTTCAGACGTCACTGTGCAGTCAGCTCGTTTATTCTATTTTCGGACACGAAAAGGAGGTGGGGTGGTGATTGTAATTTCGATTTCAGACACTGCCATTCACTCAGGAACTAAGACGAATGTGATCCGTGTCACGTAAGCGCAGCCATAGGAATTGCACTAAAGACAGAGGGGGGGGGAGCTAAGCAGATAGCGGCAAAAACTAGCCGAGGCAAGCCATGTTAACGTGGCCAGCTTGAAATTTGCATAATTGCCTGCTGCCTGTCTACAAAGAGCATTTCACTTTAATGTTGGTCTACTTTGCCGATTGTGGGCGAGGCGACTGTGCAGAGGATATAAACCAAGGCGCCTTCAGTTATAAAGAGACTTACGTACAAACAAGAAACAGCATTTGATTATTGCTGAAAGCAGTTTCTTTTTTATGGTAAGTCTGAGTCTGAGCCCAGCACTAATTCTGGACAAAGTTCATTAGCACAGCGCGAAACAATTAACTCAAGTCACTGGCAAGAAGAGTTGTTTGACAGACAGGCGCGGTATTAATCTCATCAGAATCTGGGCAAACTACTTTTGATGGAATCTAAAGTTGATTTTTATGTTTTTTGCTACACATATACTTTTATTGCTTGAGTCTTTAATTTGCTTGGAAACTTGTTGCACAGCTTATTACACGTGATTGTATTCAACAATTATCTATTTCTGTATTATATTTTTTTTTATTCCGCCCAAGTTGCCATTTCTTACCTAGAACACAAACCTGTTTGTGCAGAGATATCAAAATTTATTATTATTTAATTCAACGAATATTTCCCAGAGTAAATATTATGGGAATTATTTTTGTTCGTATATTTTATGAGTGTTCGGCTTATATCGAGAAAATTTATTTTCTCAGTATTCCAATTCGTTTACCTTTAACTTATTTGTCTTACATTCGATTTACGTAAGTAACCGTTTTTATGCCAAAGATTAAATTGATTTATTGGAAATGCAGAGCATGGTATTTTGCTGATGGCTTTTTCCCTTGAATTTACTTTTTCTGCTGGTTTCTATTTTCTGCTCACATTCAATTATAATGTTGAATTTTAATTGGGTTTAAACACACAGCATTGTCAGGGAGTGCATTTTAAATAACCGATTATTTGTCAATGTGAATATGTATAATTGATTCCTGTGAACGTGCCGCATATTTAACATTTAGTAAATTACTTCTTTTGTTTTGCCCGGTCACTCTTAGTATTTTGCATGGAGCGCAACATACTCATTGTGAGGTACATTTAAAATATGCACATTAATTACGAGCTGTTTGAGAAATGTAGTAAAAGTTGTAAATGACGTACACATACTGTTTACTATTGTGTGTAGCAAAAAGTGTTTTTTTATTGTTTTATATTATAGCGAAATTGTGTCTGTGTGTGTGTGTGTGTGTAAGTAATTTAATTATTGCAAATTAATTACATTGATTATTTGGATATTAAGTGGCTGCTGCTGTTGCGGCAATTGCGGCGTGTGCACATCAATCTATCAGCCACTGTGTGTGTGTGTGTGTTTGTGTGTGTGATTAGTGCTGAATAACAGTAATTAGCCGCTTGATTTACGATACATTGACCCCGCCTTCTATGTCAAACTTTGCTTAGTGTAATTGTAGTTTCACTTTTTATTGCGTTCACTTAATTTTCCACGTCTCTTCTTATTCTACTCGTGCTGTACTGTTTAACGATACTTAATTAAGTCTTTGAGCAGCGAGCACTTAAGTGGTCAAAGTTAATTGAATCTACTGCAATTTGTTATTGTATTGTTTTACAAGAGCACTTGCCACTCCACCGGTTCTGAGAACCTCTTGTGCACCAAAAAAAAAAAAAGAAAAGAAAATGAAAATAAAAGAAAAGAAAATAGCTCTAATCGAATTGTCGAAAATAATGAATGTGTTAAATGGCAACGGCAACAATAAACGAAATATGCAAACAAAAGCCACAAAGCAAATTATAAAAGTAACTCGAAAAAGTTTATGAAATCGAGCCGAGCCCAGCCTAGCCAAAGCCAAGACGAACCGCCCAAAGATAATAAACAATAACAGTAGCAGTCGTCAGGCTCGACTGGTATCCCACACACACACACACACACACACATGAATAATTCCACACAGTTATAGACACAGCAATAGATACAAAATCACTTATCGTCAAACAGTTGCGCCGTGCTTCTTGCACGTGTTTGGGTTCACGTTCATGGCTTTTGGGAAATGATTGGTGGGAGAGAGAATTTGTCGGCTATCTGGTTGCCACAATTTCTCAACTGTTTTTCGCCAAAAGTTCACGTTCCGAAAAAAAAGAACGAAAAAAAAAACAGTAAACAAGCGAAGAAGCCGAAAAATTAAGTAAATCAAATATAAACGCTAACGAAAATAGCGACAAAGCGACAAAGCGACGAAGATAAAGTGTGGCACAGTGGCATGGAGGCACAAAACGCTTATGATTGTAAATAAAATGGAAGCAAAACAGGTAATAATAAATATAAAGCTGACCGTGAGCAATGTCAGGGGCTCATTGGCGCTTATTTGTTATTGTTGTTGCCTGGGAATATACTCGCAAGTGTGACCAGATAAAAGGTGCACACCAGACCGTTGAACGAACCATTGTTAAACTATTCAAATTTATGCAACTCCAGCAGTGGGGCAAACAGAGATAGCAAACCAGCAGCAACTGAAACAGAAACATAAATAGCTGGCCGATTCAACTGAATTGAATTTTACGCTTTATGCCGTTTATTTTGTGTTTTTTTTTTTTTTTTGGTTTCTAGTTCAAGTTTAGGGTCAATAACTGTCGATTGCATTTTAACTAAGTTGGTCGAGCAGCTGCTGCTGCGGCTTTGTTTGCTGTGGCCACTGTTGATTTACAATTTGTTAAATTGGCAAACAAACCGTTTACGAAAATACCTATTAAAGAAATGCACGCTAAGCATATTACTTTAAGCCTATAGCGAAACTTTTATACTCTTTTATTACTCCAACAATTGAAGTAATAAAACTCAGAGTTATGTGTCTCTAGAGTTGTCCAACCATTAAAGCCATAATGATAGCTATGGCAAGCTTTATTAACATATACATTTAATTATATGCATATTAAGTTATGGTCACCATAATTTTAAAGAATTATTCTTGCTAACTCCTAATTCGTAAAGTGTATATAAAATCATTTTAGACTACAATCGAATATCGAAAATGGCAACATTTTGCTGTTGTGTATTAAATGTTTCTATGTACTCAAAACAAGCTCAACATGCCCAATAGCAAACAGTAAACAAAAACTGAAAAATGTCTGGTCAATCGATTCGACAGACTGTTTATCTGAATCCGTTTAAAGCACTTGTGGATGTATCTGTGAGTGCGCTTTTGTCTGTTTATGTTTGTCTTTGCACACAAAAAGGGTGCGTTAAGTGAATCACGAGCAAATCAAATGCTTCCCAACAACAACAACAACAGCAACAGCAGCAACAACAACAACAATTCAAACAAACTGACAGCAAGTTCAATGTGATTGCCGTTTTACGAGCAGTATCATTATTGCAGGTTCAATGCATCATCTATCTGTGTGCCTGAGATACAAATGCTAATGGAGGTTATAAGTTTAAGAGCTCTGTGTGTGCAAAACTTTGCCAGCATACTCTCCAAACACACACACACACACACACAGAGAAACTTTAACTTTTGTGGAGGAGATCAGTTGCAACAACACATATATTATACCTATTTCAAGACAGACTCATTTGGCGTCATTAATATTCACACGCATAATTTGATTTATTGTCTTAACCTCATCAGAAATTTAAGCAATATGTTTTCGAGTTCGAAGTTCTGTTAATAAGATGGATTGTCAAAATGGTCTATCTGTGCGCCTATGGCCAACTTAATAAGACTGCCACCAACTGTTTCCGGCCTTTATTATAGCTATTGTTTTAAATGTGTGTGAGTGTGTTTGACCTTTTCGTTCACTTCTTATTAGAACCAGTTTCG